GGAGGAGTGTTAGAGTTATTAGTATTTATTTCTTTCCTTTCTATATATTTCTTAGTTTATGTATTTCTTTGTTTATGACATTCTTTTTATCTCTAGGTAGTTATTAGGAATGAACTTAATCCTAGAGATTTGTATGGTTATGTCTTTCCTATTTTATAGCTCTTATATCTTGTATTTATATCCCTTTTGATATCAATAAAATTTTTATGTTGCATTCCTACACGGTATTAGAGCCACTAGGATCTTACCCTAGCCATCGAAACCTTACCCTAATCACTGGAACTCTCCCTGCTAGCCTTTCTTGCTGCCGGGCCTACCTTCCACCAGTTGTCGTCCCTTCCAGGGCTAGTAGAAAGATTTTCAGTAGCAGAATCACTTTCCTGCATGCCTTCCCCTCACTGGGTTTTTACTCCCGTTTGTTGAAATCTCCACCTGTAGGTTATCCTGCTATTGGACCCCCCTTCCGCCGATCGAAGCGCCTTCTAGAATTGCCGGATCTCCCTCTTGTCGGCTGGAATCATGCCTTATAGGCCCCTTGTGTTGACAACTAAGTAAGGGATCGTCTCCTATTTCTCGACACCCAAACCTCACATTTGGCTCCGTCAGAACTATGACAAATTCCTCCACCACTGAGCTTTCATCTGACGCCGTCCTTGAGTCCACTGGAGGATTGTCACTTACCTCAATCCCTCCGTAGACCTGAGGAGATGAAAACTCATGAATTTCCTTATTACCCCCAACAAACTCAACGACTCTAATTTTCTCTAATAGTCTCAAGCTTTTTTGTTGTTCGTCAAAGGTCGAGGTAAATTAGGCCATCTCACAGGTACGAGTTGTGAACCTCTGAAGATTGACCCAACATGTGCATCATAGGAAGTGGAGAACTCCATAATTATGTTATGACTGATTAATTCCATGGAGATCTCGATTGGCCATTCGTACCTGTTTCTTCTGTCTGCATGTGCCCACTGGACTGCCATTCACGACAACTACTCAGGCGTAGGTAATTCTAGGCAATTTTATGAAGTTTTTATGAAGACACGCAAGGCGAAACAAGGATCAAAGACGATGACTCATATTTCATCGAATTGGTTGTCTTGTTGATGGAATGTGATCTTAAATTTAGGGTTTAGGGTAGGTAATTCTACACAACACTCGAGACTCTTCTGTAGATCTTTCCCTCTTATAAAAAATTTGGAAAAGGATTGTGTTTGAATTCCTGACAGGCCTTAACAAGGATCTAGAAGAAGTTCGTGGTCGTATACTTGACCGTGATCCCCTTCCTTGAACCAGACAACATTCACTGAGATTCGTTGCGAAGAAAGTCGGAGACTTGTCATGCTCAGCAACTCCACTCCTTCAGCTCAGCCTTCAGCCTTGTTCTCCAACGGGACTCCACATCTCGCCACGCCGTCGTTAGCCACTCATTCCACATGTGATTTTGGTTACAATCCCTACCATACCCGTGATAAGTGTTGGAAGCTCTATGTGAAACCACCAAATAAGTGGTCGACCAAATCTTGCGCTAAAGGTCTCGCTACGAACTCAGATTTTGCAATTTCAGCCGACCTCTACTCGGAACATCCTCGAATCAACAGACTTCATCAAGAGTCAGATGGAACATTTGATTAAGTTACTTGGGCCTAGTCAACCCTTCTCCGACCCATCAAGCTCTAATGTTCGCCAAGGTAACATCTCTATGACACTCTTTTTTTAATTCTTCTAGCCCATGTATTATTGATTTAGGTGCCATAGATCATATGACCGAGAGTTCTTATTTCTTCTCGGCGTATTATCTTTGCTCTGAGCGATATATTATTAAAATTGTTGATGACTCCTGTAATTCCATTGTGAGTAAAGGATCGATTGTACTTGCAGTCGGGCTGACTTTGGAATACGTTACACGTTCATTTACTTAAGTGCAACCTCTTATCGGTAAGTAAATTAACATGTGATCTTGATTGCGTTGCTTATTTTTTCTTTTTTTCTTGATTTTTGTGTTTTTAAGGATTGTCATTTGAGGAGGATGATTGGAACTACTAAGTAGGTAGTCAGACTCTATTTTTTTCAAGTAAATGACATTGATGACACCAAGAGTCAGTCTCGTAGTTGTAGTTTTTCTCTTTCTACTGCATATCCTATTATGTTTTTATATTGTCGTTTAGGTCATCCCAGTTTTTGTTATTTAAAATATTTGCATCCCTTGGTGTTTACTGATAAATATCCATCTTCTTTTAAACGTGAAATTTGTCAATTAGCTAAACTTCAACGTGTGTCATATCCATCTCATTTGTGCACTTCCTCCTTTTCACTTATTAATAGTAATTTATGGGACCCTGTCGAATTGCGAGCTATATCAATAAAAGATGGTTTCTTACTCTAATTGATGACCACATTTGGATGTCTTGAGTCTATATTTTAAAAGATAAATCTGAAGTTGTGGTCGCCATTTAAAAAAAAAATTACTTCATTTTGATCCAATTCAAAATAAATATTCAATTCCTTTGAATGGACAATGACTGTGAATACTTTAACTTTATTTTGTGCGAATTCTTAGTATCTCCTCCATTATAGTTCATGTACGGATACCCTTCAACAAAATGAGATAGCTGAACAGAAAAATAGGCATCTTCTTGAAGTTGCTCGTTCAATTATGCGTCAAAGCAATGTCCTTATACGATTTTGGAATGATGCCATCCTCACAACCAACTATCTCATCAATAGAGTTTCCAGAAAATCCACAATTTTCGGACCTCGTTATTCATCCTGATGTCAGTTTTCATACCAACTAGTACTTATCCGCTTTAGAGCCCAAATTATTTGAGTGCATGACCTTTGTTCTGAACACAAACCCAACTCGTAGTAAGCTTGATTCCCGCTCAATCATATTATATTCCTTGGCTATTTTGCCACTCAAAAAGGCTATCGGTGTCTGGATCCTACCACTAATAAAATCTATGTCAGTGCCAACATTTCCTTTTTTTTAAGAACGTTCCCTTCTTCCTTAACACTACCTCAAGTGAGGGGGAGCTTGATCTTTTGGATACTATCCCTCTTCCGACTCTGTTGGACATTCCTCGTAAAATCACGAAGGATTAGCCACCAGTCAAACCAACATCACCACCACCCTCTATCCGGGTCTATACCCCTCATTCAAAACCCTCTGTTGAAATTTGTCTCATTGCCTCTATCGTCGAGCCCGCTGCTCTGCTTCAGGTCTTGGAATCTGCTCCGGCCGACATTCTTGAAAAGATGTCTTCTCCTTCTATGAGGGTCACTTTTGATCCGAGTGAAGATGTCAATTTCTTTATTGAGGTATGTAAACATATACCGTCAGAAACTTTGTATTTCATGGCGAAATGTCTCGTTTCACAACCTTTCTCCAAACTAAAAAGCATTTGCTACTTCTGTGAAGGATCGTACTCTCCCATCTACTATAGAAGCGGCTTTGGCTGACCAGTTCTAGAAGGTTGCTGCAATGGATGAGATAAATGCTCTTCTGCGCAACCATACTTGGGATGTGGTCGATCTTCCTTGGGGGAAGAAAGCGGTGGGGTGTCGGTGGATCTTCAACACCAAGTTTAACTTCGATGGTTCCTTTGAACGCAACACGACACAGTAAGTTGTCAAAAGATATTTTTAAACTTATGAAGTTGACTATAAAGAGACATTTGCTCTAATTGCCAAACTCAATACCGTTCGGATCCTTTTTTCACTAGTCGTGAATTTGGATTGACCTGTACTATAATTGGACGTCAAGAGTGCTTTCCTTAATAGCGATCTCACTTAGGAGATTTATATGTCTTTCCCCGGGATTTGATTCACTTTCTTCTCGCGGACAAGTGTGTTGATTGCAAAAATCCCACTATAGATTGAAGCAATTCCAACGGGCCTGATTTGACAAGTTCACATAGGTGGTAGTGGGCTATGGGTGACCAACCTTCTTCTTTGCAAACTGATTGTTGTACCAATTGACCCAAATGAGAAATTATTGGATGTTCTCAATGCCGTTTCAGTAAACAAAACCTTCTTCCAACACCTCGTGGGTAAGCTTATCTACCTCGCTCATACTCGCCCGAACATTTGTCACACCTTGGGTGTCGTAAGTCAGTTTATCAATAACCCCTATGAGCACTATCTCACTACGTTTAATCGAATCCTCCACTACTTAAAAGGAACATTAGACTCATGTTTGTTGTTCACTCATCACAATTCCCACTGTTGTTGTTTATACGGATGCTGATTGGGCTGAATACGCCCATGATAGACGATTTATCATAGGTTATTGCTCATTCATATGGGGGAATCTTGCCATTTGGAAAAGTAAAAAACAGTCAGTGGTTGCCCGTAGTAGTATTGAAGTCGAATTTCTGTGTCTTTGGGGGTCCCTCTGGTTGCGCATTTTGTTTACTGAGTTACATATGTCAAGTCACCGCTCCTCTGTAGTTTTTTTGTGATAATAAAGCTGCCATTGACATTGCTCATAATTCGGTCGAACATGATCATACCATGCATGTGGAGATTGATCGTCACTTTATCAAGGAGAAACTTGTTTCCGGGGAGATCCGTGTTCCGTTTATTCCATCTACTAGCCAATTGGCTGATATTCTCACAGATAGTCTTCCTCGCCCGTTGTTTGACTACTTCAAATCCAAGTTGAACATGATTAACATCTATGCTTCAACTTGAGGGGGAGTGTTAGAAGTTATTAGTATTTATTTCTTTCATTTATGGATGTTTCCTAGTTTATATATTTCATGATCTATAACTTTTTTTTTTATCTCTAGGTAGTTACTAGGAATAAATCTAATCCTAGAGATTTGTATGTTGTGTCTTTCCTATTTTATAACTCTTTTATCCTGTTTTTATATCCCTTTTGATATCAATACAATTATTCTGCTGAATTCCTACAGTATACATGGAAGCATTTTTTTTAAAGTTTAGCTAGATGCTTTTCTCTATTTTCCTTGTTTTTTAACAAGAACAATTGTAAATTGCAGATCACTATTTTCTATTTGATTTTCCTGGCCAAGTTGAGCTGTTCTTTCTTCATTCGAATGCAAAAAATGTTATTTGGAAGCTTATTAAGCAATTGGATCTCAGGGTATTGTAATCAGTTTGTCATATTTGATTGAGGCTGTGTACGATATGGTCTCAGCAATGGCAGGGCCTAGTTTCTATTTTTACTATTTGCTTTATTTTGAAAATGCATTTTTTTTTGGGGCATTTACATACACGCCACCCAATTTCATGTATTTATATATCTAACACCTAAACTTTGCTTTTTTACATTTATACCACCCAAATCTTCCATATCATATCAAATATACCATTATTTTAACTTAAAAAAGTGAAACACCTTTTCATGCATACGTAAGGTGGCATGTACGTAAAAATTGATCTTTAGGTGTTAGATATGTAAATACATTGGAATTTAGTGGCATATATGTAAATCCTTTTTTTTGTTGTGCAGTTGACGGCTATTCATTTAGTTGATGCCCATTTATGCTGTGATCCTGGAAAATATGTAAGCGCTTTAGTTCTCTCCTTAACAACCATGTTACACTTGGAACTCCCTCATATTAATGTATTGTCCAAAATTGATCTCATTGAGAGTTATGGGAAGTTAGGTATGAATTCCTTGCCTTCTGTTCATTCATTGCTGTAGGTTTCATCTTTTTGTTTCGATGAACTAACCTTGGTAGGTTAATACGTTTGTCCTTTTTTGGTACAGCATATAATCTTGAGTTCTATACAGATGTAGAAGATTTGTCTTATTTACAATACCACCTTGATCAAGATCCAAGGTCATCGAAGTACAGGTGCTTTTTTTGATTTTATTTTGAATCTTTCTATGAAACATGGATTAAATTGACAGAATTAGTTACACTTTTTCCTTGTCAATTTAGTGTAATGGAGATAGGATTGGTGGCTACGCTCATTGAAATTGCAGATCTTGTGTGCTAGGTGGGTGAATTAACTATTTGCTTTCAAGTAATTAACCAAAATGGACCCTAGACTTTTTAAGTATGTTCATTTTAGGTTTTAGACTTTTTCTAGTTCACAATTCATTTTCTTAACTTAATTTGAGCCAATTTGGAAAGCTTTCCTACATCAATTTTCATTCAAAGAAATGACAAATTTGATGGTAAGACCAAATTTGTTTAGATTTGGTGAGATGAGGGACTGCTTAGAACAATTACTGACGTGGCAGTGTCCTGTAGAGCAATGGCATTGGGCCTCCCACTTTCCCGGTAGCGGTATTTTCGCGATACCGTGGAATCAAAGAATTCCGTGATTGTAGGAGGGCCATACACGCGGTTCCGACCCGTTATTGATTTTTGCTTGATTTTTTTTTCTTTTTGATTTCTTTCTTCTTTCTCTATTTCTAATTAAGTTTTTTCTATTGGGGAGCTTATATATTTGTATTTGTTGTTTTAAGGCGGCTAGCTTAGATTTTATATACTGTGGATAATTTAATCTCAAATTTATGCTCTAAGGAATGATGTATCCTCTTTCTTTTGCATGCAGCGTGTCTGTATCTTGCTCAGGAATAGGTGGTGGATCCCCCTTGCTGTCTCATCGTCAACCCACTGTTTTCAGTTTGAATAGTAGCCGAACTACTCAAATCTGCTAAAGATTTTGCCACCTATCTACTTTCAAACACTAATGGCTATCTCTATCCTCGTATTATTCCATAACCCTTCCCCGCTAAATCCCGTATGAACACCTTTATGAAGCTCCTAGAACAGTGTCATCTGATATCAGAGCTAGCCAAACATTAAAAGTTTAGAGATTTGTTTTCTTTGCTCCCAAATAAAAAAAAATCTCCACCATACTCTAACCATTTCTAGTGCAATTTTAAATTTTCAAAAGCTGATTTTCCTACCTCTACCAAAGAGCCGCCTTGACACGTATCATAAATCCTTAAGCATTTGGCCAACCTTTGATTATAAATTACTCATTCAACCCTAACCTTAACTCTAAATCTTTCACAATCCGACTTAGGGCTTGAAATTAACTAAGACGGGAACATACGGTGGGGCGGTGAAAATCAATTCTCTGCTATTCTTTTTTTCTCACTAATAGTTTAATATTTACATGAAAGTGCCACTAAAAAAAGAATTAAAATTAACTAGTAGAAACTTATACCTTTCCATTTGTTGTTCTTTTCAATACACATTTTCTTTTCTTCTGTTCATCTTATTCAAATATTTAAAACCTAAAAATAACATTAAAGTAACATAATGAGTTATCTAAAGATAAGCCAGGAGCAATCAAACTTTTAAACTAATCCAAGGTGAAAAAATCAATATGCATACTGGTATTTCATATCTCTACAAGAAATCTTATAATATGTCTGTCTTTCATATTTTCATAAGAAATCTTATATGTTGCATGCATGATCTTTTTTAAATGAAAATACTCAACTCTTTTATATGCATTTACTTTATTTATACTTTACATTTTTTACATACCAATCTGTCTTTGTGAGGATCATCATCAACAAAACCTAACACACTCTTTGGCGATATTGCCCCTTCGACACAGCGGTTAGCGATGTAAACATCGCAATTGTCTAATGTCTTTTGGTCGATATTATCCTGTTAAAACAACATTTAACAATGTAAGCATAACAATACTTGGGGAGGTAACCTTTGATCTGCTTGCCCTTGGCCGATGTTATCCCTTTGGTATAGCGGCGAGTGATCTAACCATCGCAATTGTTTGTGGTAGTTGAAAAATCTCTATGCGCACGGGTACCCAGCTGTCCCTTGTTTGTATCATTAATGGGTAAACTCTTCTTCTGAACACGCACATACAAGTATTCATATATAAACTATTTTATTCTTTATAATTTACATTATTCTAAAAAATCTTTATGCATCTACTAACATGCATACTTATTCTACTGTATAACTAAGTATCATGCATATCTCTCAGCTCATGCATCTCTTATATCATGCATATATTTCTTATCATGTCAATCTTTTATATTATATTTATCATACATATCATATATCACATGCATATCTTTTATGCATATCTTTTCTATCTAATAATATAAATAATCTAACTAAACTAGAGCATACATGGAGTCAAACTTACATTTTGAATAAAGAAGATTACTGAAATTTAGAAATGTAATTACTCACCTCGGTTGCCACACTAAATTTTTAATCTTTGGTAATTAGTTGGATATTGCAATAATTTTTATGATCTTAATAACCTATAAAACATAATATTAAACTTTAAGATTTAAACAATTTCTATTAATCATTTTATTCTTCTTAAATTAACATAGGATTATTTACTTGAAATTAGTGGAGCCGCCAAACGACAAAATTCCACACGCCTGCCTCAAACTAGTCTCCTTGGATAACCAATTTGAAATCTTAAACGACTTAGGAACTCAGGATATTTTAACTCATAAAGCGATTTAACTAAACAAAATAACTTTCTTACCTCAAATAGGCTTCTCAGCACAATTCCACCCTTCAGAAGCTGCTAAAACCTTAACTTTTTTTTATCTTCTCAATATTTCTTTCCCCTTCGCTGATTTTGAGCCAAAACCACTACGGAAACTCACAAACCACTTTTGACATTTTCAACACAAGATCAACCCCTTTGACGACAACTCGAAACAAAAAAAAAAGAAAATTGAGATAAATCTCAAAACAGAAACGTGAGGAAGAAAATAAAAGTCTTAAATAATGCTAAAATCAATTTCATACCTTTCAATCTTGTTCTGAAGACCCTAAAGCGCGAGCTGCTGCTTCGTGGCCGCTGCCCGCCCTCTCAATTCTCGCCCCACACTATAGTCAGATCGCAGGTCTCCTACAGACTGGCAAAACCGAGAGGGGAGAAGAAAGAGCGAAGGCTTCGGAGCAAGGATTCTTATTCGACACCAATTGAGGTTTGAAATATTGCGTGTGGTAAGCTGGTTGAGTATGATAACCGGGATTAGGGAGGGGCTAATTTAGGATTAAATAAATTTAATTAACTTATAACATCCAACTCTAATATTTTCCAATCCGTTTATAGTTCATATATATTGTTTTATATCGAATTGATCGATTTGACACGTAAAGTTTTATAAAATTGATTCGATTGGGAACTGAAATGTGAAAATTGGGGTACATTTTAAGTCGTCAAAATTTTTACCCGATTTTACATAAATGATTATTACAATCTCCCCTTATAAAATTATCTTTGAAATTCATGAACTACACATCAAGTATATATTTTATGAGGATGAAGCATAAATTGATTACAAAAGTCTTTTTCTTGTTAAGTGATAACTAAAGAATATGCGATAATCTATACATTTAATAAATCTAACATAACACCCAGAAAAACAATTCATCCATCAAACTATGCATCAACACCAACGACAACATGCTCTTCGAGTTTGTGATGAGTTAAGGAATAAACTCTTGGGCGAATGTTCTAACATGGTTCCTCACTACGAGTCACGGTGACACCTTTTATTCTCTGCTGACCACTTCTGGAAGTAGATCATTCTTGAAAATTCCTTGGAGCTGGATTTCTTCTTGGGTGAGCATTTGATGTGGATCTCTTTACAACATTAGGACAATATCGCCTCTGATGTCTAGGTTGTCTGTATAAGTAACACACTTTCAACCCAAGTAAAGAATCTCCACGATGTTGTTGTCCACACTTAACACAAGGTTGTATAGTGTTGCTGCCAGTCTGGCTAACGACTCCACCAGTGTAGGACTTTATCTTCATCCCAATAGAATCTCCTTCTGAATGAACTGTTGGCGACACTTCTTCCTAACTCTTTCTCTTGTGCAATTCTCTACGCTTCTAAGTCTTTTTGAAATCAATGTCCACCCGCCTAACTCTCTCCATTAGTACTGAATAGTCTTCAATCTCAAATAGCATTAATGGCTGCTTAATTGGGTCTTTCAATCTAGAAAGAATCTGCGACATTTCTCCACTGCCTTTGGAATGAGTTGTGCATATCTCGATAGCATAGTGAACTCCGCTTCGTGTTGCATAACTGATCGGCCTCGTTGCACCAACCTAATGAAGTTATCTTGCATTTGTCTTTTAACCGATAGTGGTACAAACCAATCTTTGAAGGTTCTCACAAACTCGTCCTACTGCACCAAGTGACTGGTTCTGCCTCCAAACTTCTCTTGCATATGTCCATGCCACCATCTTTCAATTTCATCTTCAAATGCAAATGTAGTAAGGGTAACTCACCTCTCCGATGGACATGACATGACAACTCATCTAAAATCTTCTATACTCTTAATAGTCAGTTTTCAGCTTCAATTGGCTCTCCTGTTTCAGAAAACAAAGGTAGTCTCATATCTTGAAAGAGCTTCAAATATTTATCCATTGGTTTTTTTCCACTGCTACTCGCTTGAGATTGAGAATTCTTAATCAGTTGAGTCACCACATTCATCATATAAGCGAATGCACAAACGCTGACTGTGACATTCTAGGGTACAAGTGATTCTACATTCTTATCTCTAACCTTTTCTCCCGGATCATCCATAATTTTGAAATAACAACCATATATTTTAGTTAGTCTTAATGAAAATTTTTTATTTCTATTATTTATAATTTAATCAATCATCCTATTATTTCTTTCATTTAAATCATGTTATTTCATCTAAACCTCTGTTCTGATACCACTTTTGTTATGACTCGGATTTGGGCTTGAAATTAACCAAGACAGGAACAGACGGTCGAACGGTGAAAACTGCACTATTCTATTTCTATTACTAACAGTTTAACAACCATCTTATAAGATTGCACAAACTTTGACTGTCTATGGTACAAGTGA